CCTCCTCCGCGATGATGCCGTCGTCGTCGGTGGGGGCCGCGAGGTCGGGCAGCAGCACAAGCCTCTTGAGGACGTCGGCCGGCGGCGCGTCGGCCATGGTGGTCGTGGGCTTGCCGTACGTGGCCCACGACTTGCGCTCCCGCGCGTCGAACCCCCAGCCGGCGTAGCCCTCGAGCAGGAGAATGTGCACGAGCAGGCCGTTGCCGCAGCCGATGTCGACAAAGCCGGGGAAGGGCTGGTCTCGGTACATGTCGGCCCACAGCTCGATGAGGAAGGCGGCGATGCCGAGATCCTCAAAGACGTGCTTCAGGGGGGTCGGTCACCTCGGCCCAGGTGCTCACGAGACGGGCGGCGTGCTTGAGCTTGAGGGCGGAGTAGCGGTCCTGGAAGCGTGCCTGGGGGATGACGACGTCGTGGTGGACCTTCTTCACGTAGCCGGCCGCCTGGCCCTGGCCGTGCTTGTGGAGGACGGAAAGGAGCATGCGGGCTGTGCGCTTCAGCTTCTCGGGGTCCGTCTCCGGGTCGATGCCGTGCTCGCCGGGTGGGAAGTGCCAGTAGTGGATAGAGATGGTACCGCGGGCCTCGTCGGCGTCCCACTCGTGGAGCTGGGCGATGCCGCGGACCTTGGGATGATAGAAGGGCATGTCGTCGGCGGAGGACTCGTGCGGGAGGTACAGGACGACGGTGCGGGTCTTGGGACCGTCGACCTGCTGAAGGAAGAGGCATGTCTGGTCGAGAGGATTGTCGCGGCGGGGGTTCCTTGGCACGAGGCGGCGGACGAGGGCGCGTTCTGTGTGATAGCCGCCAAGGTGTACGATCTGAGGTTGGTGCTCCGCTCCCGGGATTGCATCATCGCCCGTGTCGTGCAGGATGTCTGCACGGAACAGCCATTTCGTGTTGACATTGGGGTTCTTGATCATGTTCATCATGACTTCGTTGAAGAAGTCTGTGTTGAAGGAGCAGTCATGCTGGTAGACGGGCTCCCAGTAGGCACCCGACGCATCCTTGAAGAGGGAGTCTATACCGGCGGCAGTGTAGCCATCCGGTTCGAAAACGGGCATGATTATGTTGAAGCAGGGTATGCCTGACGTTGGTGAGACAGGACTCGGGACGCACAACCAGGTGCCTCGGACATCCCACGACGAGACACCATGGCCGTCGTGAGGGCGGCGTTTGCAGTGTTGGTGGGGTGAAATATCGATAACGGATAAGGGAGGAGAAATGCACAAATTTGTGCCATGCACAGGCGGAGCTCGCGCGACGTGTCAGGCTCACCGCGTGGGGGGTTAACCGCGTCGGGGTTTAACCGTGTCGGGTTAGGGTACCTAGGTCGGTACTTGGTACTTGTGCGTTGTTCGCCATTTGTTTACTTTCAGGTGGGGCCGCCCTAGCAACGAGCCCGAGGAAGTGGCCTTGTCCAAAATACACAGGTACACGCCATGGACCAACAAAGACAGCCTACCTCTCTACCTAGCAATCCTGTACATGATGCATGCCCTTGATCGAGACACCCCTGATACCAACATTGTCGACGAACGCGCCCATCTCCACTCGGCCACAAAGTCATCTCCAGCACCATCTATGCCCATGGTTCCATGATCACACCTCTCCAGCAACACCACTCACCCCCCTTCGACAGCAGGCATCATGGCCGACAAAGACAACGACAACGACAATCTGCGGACAGCATCCCTGTACATCAACAACCAGCTGCTCTCCCGCGGTCTCTTGAGCGATGGCCAGAGCATCGACTTTGCCCGCCCTGAGCGGAATCCAGGTGGCGTTGACGCCACCATGGGAAGGGTCATGAGCATCATCAACGACCTCATTCTGCGACGCGACGTAAGCTCCTCGTCCCCTTCCACCATCCATCCATCCCATGCTGTGGAAAAGACCCCCCTCCCCAAGCTAACCCTCGATGCGCAGCGCGACGCCCAAAACCGCGAGGCCCTTTCGACGACCCTCCGCACCCTCCGCGCCGAGAACCTCAAGGCAACAAACGACGTCAGCCGCCTCACCGAGAAGCACGCAGACGCCAGGCGCAAGCTCGAAATCGCCGAGGCCTCTGAAACAGCAGCCCGCACCCAGCTCAAGAGCGCCGATGCCGCCGTCCGCGGCCTCAAGGAGGAAATGGCCCGCGCCAAGGTCCTCGTCGCCCAGACGCGCGCCTCCTGTGCGACCGAGGTGCGGCGGCGCGACCGCCAGATCGACGGCCTCAAGAGGCAGCTCGGCGATGCCGGCCGTGCGCGCGGCAGCAGCAAGAGCTCGGTCGTGACCGTCATCAGCGTTGTGGGCGATGTCGGCGCCGAGGAGAGGCCGCGTGCTGGTGCCACGCCGGGGGCTGCCGACCTGCGCAGCGAGACGAACCAGTTCCTCACCGAGCTGGCGAGGAGCCTGAGTGAAGAGAACACGGCTTTGCTCGCCGTCGTGCGCCGGACGCTGGGCAAGCTCAAGGATATGAGCGGCTGGGACAAGGGCGCGAGCCAGGGCGACGGCCACGTGGTCGCGCTGCAGACCAACTGCGACGAGATGGAGAGGGAGCTTGAAGCCATTCTCGAACACCTCCAGACCATTCTCACGAACCCTTCCTTTGTCCCGATCGAAGAGGTCGAGTCACGCGAGGAGGAGATCAACAGGCTGAAGGAGGGGTGGGTCAAGATGGAGAGTCGCTGGCAGGAAGCCGTCCACCTCATGAACGGTTGGCGCAAGCGGCTGGTCGCCAATGGCAGGGGCGTCAACATGGAGGAACTCGACATGGGCCTTCGCCTGAGTCCCATCAGGGTACGGCAGACACGCGACTACAAGCCCGAGCCCGAGCCTGAGCCGGTGGCCGACTCTCATCTTTCCTTCATTCAAGAAGAATGCACCCAGGATCTGGACGCCCTGCGTTCGTCGCCGGAACCAGAACCGGTGGAAGAAGAGGAGTCTCTCGACCTGGAACCGGCGCACGAGTACGATATCGGGGTTCAGGACGAGCATGACTATGCATCCGAGTCGAGCATTTTCGAAGACGAGATTGATGATGTTGATGTCGATGTTTCCGAGCCCAACATTGAGATCCTGCAGCAGTCGACCGCCTTCCTCAGCTCCTCGCCGCTGCCACCACGACCACAGTTGAGTCCACTCAAGGAGACGAACACGGCTGGCAATCGCGGCGCACATGAAGCCAAGTCGAGCCACGAGAAGCACAGCGATTACTCAATGAAGGCCGAAGAGAAGGCATGGGACCTGGGCGACGACTCAAACGTGCCCGAACCATCATCCCATCGCTTCCGCCTGCCACGCTCGCCCCTCAAGGCCATGCGCGCCGTCACACCCGAAATCGAGGAGAAGCCTCGAACGGCATCGGCCGCTTCTGATGCGTCCATGGACGAACTTGCCCTCGACCAGCCGCCCTTCGGCGCCGCCCTCGCCCTCGCCCCTCCCCCGGGAGCGCACCCGCGACCTGCGCACGCCCGCCAAGGTGGTGGTCCAGAAGAAGCCCGAGACCAAGGCGGACCCCCCCCGCCAAACCCGCCCCCGCCTCGCACGAATGGCAGACGCCGCATCGTCTCCGACAGAGCGTCGACGAGACCTCCCCGCCCGGCCCCGCCCATCCACAGACGCCGCCGCACCCGCCGAGACATCTTCTCTCGCACGTCTCTCACGTCTCCGCTCCCCCCGCCCGCGAGCCCACCTCCGCAGCAGAGCCCCTGACCATGGC